AAGCCTTCCTGGAGCTAACTCGGTTCTTCTAAATTAACATAATGTATTATTAGGAGAAGCCCTTGAATGGACACCCAGATCCAACACAGAGTCCCCCATTTTCTTCAGCATCCCCTTCCTTTGTTTGAAAGGCTATTAGGGCTGCACAGTGTTCTTTGTTCTAAACCCCAGAAAATATCTGTGAGAAGGTTAGAATCTTCCTGGAGCCCTAAAATCATATCATTTGTCTCTTTTCTTTAAGCCTTCACTGGGGGCCAGGGAGATAGCTCAGTGGAATAAGCGCTTGCCTGGCAAGCAGAGGGTCCAAGTTTGATCCCCAGTACCGTAAAAACAAAAAAAAAAAGCTTCAGCTGGGGATATAGTTCAGCAGCATAAGCACCCGCCTGGCAAGCACAAGGTCCTGGGCTGGGGAAATAGTTCAGTAGAATAAGCACTTGCCTGGCAAGCACAAGGTCCTGAGTTCAATCTCCAGTACCACCAATTTAAAAAAAAAAAAAAAAACAAGTATCAAGCCTTCACTATCCACCCCTGCCTTCACTATCCACCCCTTTGGGAGATAGCGGGCTGATAGGTGTTAGACCCTACTGGGCATGATGACCCACTTGCAAAGGCCTCAGGCTCAAGTCCTAGCCCAGTACCCCCCACCACATGCCACCAAAGGGATGCTATGGAGTAGATGTGCAAAAAAAATGTGATAAATCACAGGTAAGGGAAGGACTAACAGACCGAAAAACAGGAGAGGAAAGAGATGAAGAGACAGAGAGGCTGGGAAAGGTGAGGGCAGGAAAGAACGAACAAATTGGGAGGCAACCGGGAAAGGTGAGCAAGAAACAGCGGGGACTGGTGACACACACCTGTAACCCCAGCACTTGCGAGGCTGAGGCAAGAGAATCTCCAAGATTTCAAGGCCAGCTGGGCTATATACTGAGATCATGCCTTAACCACGCCCCCCTAAAAAAAACAGCTGGGGTGAACAACAGCGGGTGAGATGAGCCAAAGAGGTACAGACTCCGATGGTATGAAGACAACTAGAAGATGATGAAGAAACAGAAAAGATCAAGACCCTGAGCCTCGGAAGAGAGGTGTAAACTGAGAAAGAGGGGGAAGAGGTGAGGTCCTCCCTCAACTCACTGCCTGTCCCAAGCTTTGGGCTGACTCCACATCACCGGGGATGGGAGCTGTGCTTCTGAATGCTCGAGAGGACTCAGAACTCGTGACCGTGTTCTGAGGGCCTCAGGCCACTGTTTAGTCTTCACAGCACGTCTATAAATCGTGAAATGGAAGTCATGCAGGCAACGAAAGCCGGAGCTGAGCTTGGACTCTGGGCAACCTGGCCCAAAGTCAGTGTCCCAGCCACCGCCTTTGCTAAGGGGAAAGGGTACTGCCTTCTCACCTTCCCTCTCCAGCCCCACACTCTCTGGGGAGGCTTCGGGACCGAGTGGAGCTGACACTCCCATTCACGTCCTCTGAGCTTCCAAAAGGCTCAGCTTCAGGAGCCTGTTGAGTATCCTGCCCAGACACCTGGACCGGAAGCTACTTTTTGCTCATCTATGGGCCCTGGGAAGAGCCTAGGAAGAGTCCTGGGAAGGGACAGGGCCCTTGACTACCCGACTGCTTTTCAAGAAGCCAGACCCAAGTTTCCAGCCGTAGGCCAGAATGGCTGTTCTTGGCAGAGGAGTGCAGTGCTGTGACAATTTCACCCTGTCCTTTCTGCCAGCGCCTGTTCTTCCCGAAGCATCCTGAGGTCACAGGGTGATTTCACCTTTGCCCCTGCCATTTTGCTGCCCTGACAGTAATTCTGTTTGTCCCCATCTAGCAGAGGACAGAGTCTCGGCTTCTCTCAGAAAGAGACTTGTCCTCTGCCCCAAGCACACTGAGCAACGGGAAGCCCTTCACGCTGCCTGACCTTCAGTGGCCCCGGCGGATAAACATTTTCTCCCCACCCGGGCACACTGGTAGGCGAGGAGGGAGAAGCACAGGGCCCGGGGAAGGGAAGGGAAGGGAGAGGGGACCCCAGGAGACTTCCGGCCGCTGGGGCGGGAGGCAGCTAGGCAGACACAACAGACCGGCGGGAGGCTGTGCTGGAGTTTATTGCAGATGGACACGAGGACTCGAGGGGACGGGGCGGCTCTGCTCAGCATCCTACAGCGCGGGGTGCGGAGGCAGAAGTCAGCGTCTGCCCGGCCAGACAGCGGAGGAGCTGCCACCGGGGCGCAGGGTCAGCTCCCAGGGTCCTTCCTTGGGGCGATGGCTCTGGAGATTCCGGGCGATGTCGCCAAGAGCGAACCTGGCCTGGGGACAGGGGCGTGCCGCGGACAGTCCCGCGCAGGGAGGGGATTACCCGGGTCCTCGGCTCCCCACGGCCTCGGGAGTCTCTCCCGGCGTCAGGCGGTGCCGGCGGAGGCCGGGGTCGCTGTGGCGGCGGCGGCGGCGGC